TGGGCATACAATTGCGTGTGAAGGGTGCTGGTCTCCGGGGTCGCATCCTTAGCCGGCGCCTTCTCCAGAGTCCGCGCGCAGGCCCTCCTCTTGCGAAGGGAAGGTTTGTCCCGTCCCCTCGCCAGCAGGGGGCGATCGCGGCTCTTTTTAAAGCCTGCCTGGGTCGTCAAACACCGCGGAGGAGGGGAGAGCCGGAGCTCCGCCTCTCGCCGAGGCCGCCTTTGCCCGGGGCCAACATGGCGGATCGGGCGTCTCCGCCCGCGGCGCTCCGGCTCCCGGACTCTCTCTCCGGAAGAGCGGCCGCCAGCTCTTTTTGCCGCCTTGGAACGGGGGTCCGCCTTCCGGTTCCGGAGCGAAGGGCTGGGTGCGCATCCTGGTCGTGTGGCTGCTCCCCTTCCTTAATAAATAACAGAGACTACTAAGCAGAAGTAAAAGGCCAAAGAAGTGTGTTATTCCTATGTAGCTACCAGTGACCCGCCCGGGCCTTGGCTGCTGGTTCCCGGGGGAGGCGGCGGCGGCGGCCCCACCGGCATGATCATGGAGCGGCTGCTGGCCTCGGGCGGCTTCGAGGACGAGTGGGAGGACGAGGAGGACGCCGAGGTCTACGCCCAGCACGCCGCCTTCGCGAGCATGGGCCTGCCTTGCCCCGGTGAGGCGGCCTTCCGGCGAGGAACCCGGAGAACGGGGGGCCCTGGAGGCCCTTCCTCCTTTCCCGGCCGGGGTCGCCTTCCTTTTGCCGGCGTGGCCCCAGGGGACGCCTCCGGGAGCAAGGCCGGGCAGAGGAGGGCCCTCCGGAGGCGGCCTCCCTCAAGGCCTTGGCTGTGCGGGGCAAGGAGGGGTGACCCTTGGCCCAGGCCGGGTGGAGGCACCCGCCGGGGGAAGCAGAAGGGAAAGCAGGGCACGAGCCGGGCAGAGCCCACCGACCCCTAACGCTCAACCCCCCCGCCTCCCCAAAGCTCTCGGGGCGCCCTGCTTATTCCGCAGCTGGAGGGGAGAGAGAGAGAAAGAGAGAGAGAGCGCTTGCTGGGTCTTTCCTACCCCAGGAGCTGATGCTGAAAGGGGGGGCGGGGGGGATCCTGTTCCAGACGTAGACGGAGAACCCTGCTGGTACTGTGAAGACGAAGGCTACGGCTACGGAGACTGGGAGGGCTCCGGCGAGGAAGAGCCGGAGGAGGAGAAGGAGCGCCCTCCGAAAGCCGGCCCGGGCACCTTCTGCGGCCTCAAGAAATCCTTCCTGTGCAAGCCCCCTGCGCCTGGCACCTCCACGCAGGACGACACCCCAGATCATCCGCTGCTGCTTGCCATGGCTCTGCCTCAGAAGCAGCAGCTGACGGCGGAGGTGAGGCCGGGAGAGGCGGAGGGGCTGCCGGCTGGGATGCCTTGGAGACCTTGGTCCTTTTGGCCCTGCTGCCGCCTTGGCAACTTTCACTTTCCTGTGACTTGTGCTGTTTCTTTGCTCGTTACCTGTGTGTCACCTTGGAAAAGTAGTTTCCAGAGTCTTTAATTCCCACAGATAGTGTTTCTTTCAAAACAACATAAAAAGTTAATATAGCTGAGTGGGTTGGAGCGTTTAGTTGCAGAGATGGCGCTGGGTGTTTGAATCCCCAGTGGGGCCTTCTGAGTCAGCCAAAATCACCCAGACTGGCGAGGCTACGTCCCCTGATGCTTGCTGGGTCATTCCAGATGGAGGGTTATTGAGTCAATATTGACTCCTTCACACTTGGAAAACATTAGGAGAGTCACCACAAGTCAGAGCTGGCTTCACCTTTGGTTGGCTTCAGCCATGAATGTCCTGCTTCAGCTGGGATTTGGGCTGGGTGGCCCCTCTTTCCTCCCCAGCTGCAGAGTTATGTAAACAGAAAGATGGTGGAACAGTCTGGTCATATGCGGGTCTGTCGGGTTGTGTGTACGCGTGTGCCCCTGTGTCTACTTGGCAGAGGGATGGGGCTCATGAGATGCCTTCCCCAGGAAGCAGAGGAGAATGCTGAAGAGCTGGTTGCAGAGGAGGAGCGTCTCAAGAAGAAGGCTCAGAAGAAGAGGATGAAGAAGAAGGTGAGGCCTTCTGCAGAATGCCTTGGGGTGCTCTGAGGCGGGCTGCCCTTGGGCCACAGTGGGAGTTCCACAACCCTCGTGAGCTCTGACTGCATTCTGTTTCTTCTGCAGAGGCAAAAAGACAGGAAGAGGCAGGAGAAGCGTGACCAGGAACTGAAGTCTAAGCGTGAAGCTGTGAGTGACTGACCAGAGCCCCTTTGTTCGTGGAGGGAAGCAGCGCCTGTCTTAGTGACGGGTGGGCTCTGTTGTGTTTGCTAGAGGGCCAGCCCCTTCACACTGTTTTTGGGCCAGGCCAGACTCGCATCGTCAGCTTTGGGAATGGTTCCCCTAAGGTTGGCCACCACAGCATGGAGGATGGCTATGCTGGGCACCTGATGCTGGTTCTGCATAGCCTCCTGCTGAGATTCCATTGCCCAAGAGGTGAAAATGGCTTTGTGGTCTCCTTACAGTGTCTCTTGCACATCTGCCTTTGCAGGAAGCATCTTCTCCGCACAGTGGAGAGTTTCAGGATGAGGCCTCCATGGCCAGTGCCCTTAGGTCTGGCCTCCCTGGTTCAGAGGGGAATTCCAGTGAAGCCTCTCCAGGTGGGAGCCCCAGCAGGGGGACTGAAGAGGAGGTGGAGGTAAGCCCGCATGCATAATGGCCCTTTGCCCCCTATGTGGGCTGGTTGTGGGTGATGAGGCTTGCAGGTGGGAGGAAGGACTAGAAGCAGGGTTTGCCAAGGGCACCAGCAAGATGGGGGGGGGATGGAGACTGACGGGCTGTGTAAACAATCAGGCAGCTGAGCTTCCAGGCAGAAAACCTGGGCCAGGCTTTGCTGTTTTCTTGAGCAGAGTGGTGATTTGCTCGTGCTTTTTGTTGCTGAGGCCGAAGGAGGTGTAACCTCTGATTGAAAACATCAGCTTTGCCAGCCAGGAGCTCACATGGGCTCAGAAACAACTTGTTGTCTTGATCTGTTCTGAAGAACAAATGCAAAAATTGTCATGTAAGCCAAACTTTGCTCCGCTGTATTTTCAGCTTGTTTTCAGCTTCTTTTTGTCTTTAAAGTAGCTGGAAGAGATCACCAATCCGGAGCAGGACCGCAGGGTGGGCAGGTTCTGAATCTTTTCCAGGCACACTTCTCCCCTCCCTTCCCCTTGTTGCTCTTTGCTCTGGAAGTGCATTCATAGCAAGTGGCCTTTTGAGAAATGGGAGAGCAGAGAAGGGAGGGTGAGCTTCTGACCCTTCCCAGCACTTTTCATCTCCTTCTGAGCTGCTCATTCTTAAATACACCGTCTTCCTGGCTAGCTTGGGAAGAAAGATTGCAGGAAAAGTGTTTTCTGTTGTTGGTCTCAGGCAAAAGGTAGGGGAGAGATCTGGGAGGCTGGGACGTGGGGTGTCTGGCCACCCGTGGCTTCTACTTGTGGCCAACTTTTACTTTGCTCCTTTGTTGCCACACCCATGCATACTCCCACTGGTGGCATAGAATGGGGTGCATCGGACAAGATGTTTTCCAGTCTGCTTACTGTTTGTTTCAGAGCTTGTACGGATTGATAGCGCTTCTGCTTTGGCAAAGAGTTTTCATTGTTAGCAAAATGCCCAAGAAATGGCTTGGGTGTGCTCAGAGGCAGCGTAAACTGGTTTTCCTCCTCACCTCTCCACAGGAGGAGCTTGACCTCACCAGCACCTTTGTTTCAAAAGCCCGCCTTAAGGTGAGCGCCAAGCCACTGCCGCCAAAGAAAGAGAAGACGGTCCAGCCTGATAGGAAGGAGGCGGAGGAGAAAGTGAAGCAGGAGGTGAGGGCAGGTCTTTTCTTGCGGCTGGTAGGGTGCTCAGCCTGGAGGCAGGCGATGCAGCATGGCCTCTCCCAATTGGAAGAGACCCTTGTCCAGCAGGCCAAGGCCAAGAGGCCGTCTCGAAACCAGCAAAACCAGGGAGCTGAACTGGGGACAGGTTGTATTTGTCTTCAGTGTGGAAGGGATGGTCACTCTCGAATTGGCCTTCACAGATGCATTTCCAGGTCCTCCATTCAGGGCACGTGACCCTCGTCTCTCTTGAGACTGAAGGGTGCGTACTACAGTGGGGTCCTCAGGGACGCCTCATCCATCCCTCTTAGCCCTCCGAACGTACAAGGAGCCCTGGAGCTGGAGCAGACCAAGCACTGGGTCCGCTCTTGTCCAGGATCCCATTTCCTGCCCCCAGTGGCTGGCTTTATGCTGCTATGGGGCAGTGAGTTAGGCATCTGCCCGGGGAGCCAGAGGCTGGGAGTTCGGTTCCCCACTGCGCCCTCCTGGGAGAGGAGCCAGCCAGGGTGGCCTTGGGCAAGCTGCACAGGAGTCCCAGAGCATCCCCAGAAGAAAGGAAAGGGAAGCCACTTATGAGGACTATCTACCTAGAAAACTCTGGAAAGGCCTGACGTCATGAGTCAGAATTGACGGGCACACAATTGTTGCGAGAGAGCAGGGCGGGATGGGCCCCGTGCTCTTCTTGGCCAGTTGTCTGCTTTCTGTCTCCTACGGGAATGGTTACAATAGCTTAGGCCATGCGTTATTGCATGTGAGATGTAACCGTGCACCCCAACTCTTAAAGCCGATGAACGTTTTGCATGTTTTGCTTGTGATTTTTCTATTTTATTCTGTATTTCTTTTTTGGGGGCCATGAGGTAGCTTCCTCGTCCTCAAATCACTTCTGGGAAACCTACAGGAGCTCTTAATTCCTGCGTCTTGCTTTTCCTAGGATCCAAAGTCTGGTCTCCAGATGACTCCAGTGGAGCAGAGCATGGTGCTAGCAGGTGGGCTGGTGTGTGTGGCCGTGGGGGGGGAGTGGAAAGGACGGCTTGGCCATCTGTTTAACTCCTATCTGATAAATATCCTCTGCAGCCTCTTTGAACAGTGGGAGACCCGTGTGCCTCACTGTTGAACTGGGGGGGGGGGGGTGGTTTTGGCCCTCCAGCTGTTTTGCGGAACGGCCTTGCTTGAAGGGTGCAGGTCTTTGATTTGGGTGTCTTTCTTCCCATGCTTGAAATGCTGTTTTCCTCTTGTATGGTTCTTCGTGGCTTCTCCTAAGAGCGTGGCAATGAGTCGGCCAAAAACGGCCGCTACCAGGAGGCTGTGCTTCTGTTCACAGAGGCAGTAAAGCTGAACCCCCGAGAATACAGGTGAGCTTTGGTAATGGGGTTGGGGAGAGAGAGCCAGAGAGGGCGGGCCAGAGGCTTTTCTGCTCCCTCCTGCCCCCTTGGCTTGTCACCTCCCAGAGCTTGCGTTTCAGCCCTGAGGACCAGCTGAGGGCACAGGGCTGGATGGGTGACGGATGAGAGGCCTCCCTCCTCTGGGCAGACTTCTGAGTCTCCTGCGGCCACATGGCCAGCTCCTCCGTGGCCAGAGGTGCTCAGCTGCGCCGCGGCTCGGAGGCCGTCTGGATCAAGGGACTTGTTCTGACTGATTTGGGGGCTTCTGTTCACTGTTGTATTGATGCTTTTAAATAGTGAGTCTGGAGGATGAGGCAGGATGCTTTATTAGAATTGCCAGATGAGTACTGGGCCAGCCAGGTGATGGAGGGTGTGGTCGTTAGAGGAGGTGGGGTTCCTCCTCTCCCCCCACCCCCACCCCCACCATTGGAAGCTCTGGCAAGGTGTCCCTTGACTCAGGCGGATGAACACCCACTAGTGAAGGGCATTGAGCGCCTGGCCTTTGTTGGAAGAAGCTGGCAATTTGCAGCCCTTCCCGTTGTGGTTCCAGAAGGTGGCGCTGCTTGGCCCCACAGACTTCAGCCTCTGCCCACGCGCACACCAGGATCTCCCTGCCTCTCCCTGTTTTCTCTCTTGCAGCAGTTTGGCTTCAGGGCAGGGCTAGGGAGGGCGGGGCAGGGCGGGTGTAGCCCCATGAAGTGGCCCAGGTGTGGTCCAGTGGGAGCCCCCGTTGCTCATGTCGCCTCCTGCGCCTGTGGGGCCTCCATGAAGGGCAGCTATCTGGGAGTTTGGGTGAGGGTCTCCTCAGCCGGTGGGTGGCTGGCGTTTTCCTCCTTTGGTGCCGCGAAGGCCGAGGAGCGCTGCCTCTGCCCTCAGGAGGGCCCCGCTCGCTCCTGTGCTTGTTGGCAGAGGGTCCCCTTTCTGCCAAGACAGTTTCGTGGCTTCCTGGGCTTCTGCCCTGTGGGGTCTTCTGGAGGGTTTGGGGCCCCCACAGGAAAGGTTCTTTCCCAGTCCCTCCTCTGAGCCTCACAGCCGTGTTGTGAAGTCTGACTGCCTGTAAGAGAGGAGCAGCCCAGATGGGAAATGCTGTGGTCAAGCAGCTGTGGGGCCGGGGGGGGTGTCTGGGTCCTGGTCTGAGGCTTTGGTCACCAACCTCTCTGCCAGTGCACCTCTCAGGTCTGGCCACTGAGTGGGTTGCCAGAGGCCCTCGCTGTCTCTCTCCGTGTGGGAGGGAGCTGCCCCTGAACGGTCAGGAAAGGGCCTGGCTGGCCATTCAGCCACAGTTCCCCGCGGAGCGCTAAAGGCACCCAGGCAGAAGCTGTTCCCGCGTTTTGGCCCTCTTGCGGCTGTCCCTCAGCCTGGGGTCCTCCTGCAGGGAGGTGGGAGAGCAGGGCCCCAAAGCGGGGAAACGTTGCTTCACGAGGGCTCTCTCCTCCCTTCTCCCTAACCTCCTCTCCTCTTCTCCCACCCAGGTTCTTTGGCAATCGCTCCTTCTGCTACGAGAGGCTGCAGTGTTACGCCGAGGCCCTGCAAGACGCGCGGCTGGCCCTCAGCCTGCACCCGGGCTGGCCCAAAGGCCTCTTCCGCCAGGGCAAGGCCCTCATGGGCCTCAAGGTAGGGATGGGCCAAGGCCGGGCCAGGCCGGGCCGGACTTGAGAATGGGTGGAAGAGGCAGTGGTGGACCCTCTGTCTCCCCTCCCCACACAGCGCTACGTGGAAGCCGCCAGAACCTTTGAGGATCTCCTCCGCTTGGGTGATTTTCGTAGCGATGCAGCCATCCAGCTGAAGCGGTGCCAGGTCCTGCATCTGCTGGTGAGCTGGAGAGAGGCAGGGGGGGTGAGGG